AACATTTTGTATATCTGTACTATTAACCCAGAGTATGATTCCATACGAAAGCCAAGCGTGGGCGTATGCATAATAAATTGCCATTGCTGAGTTGAAATCACAGCTTACCTTTATTTCCCTTAAAGCATAAAGAAAGGAAGATAATTTTGCTTATTTTATATTGCGCAAACATTTGCTGCAACTTTTGTCTAACGAACTGTTTACCATTATCCATTAGAATGGTACTAGATATGCCATGGACTAACAGTACTTTTTCCTCTAGAATGTTAGTAATAATTTCGGCGGTTGCACGATGTATGGGAAATAAAAGCGTGTATTTAGAAAAACAACATCTTACGACCAATATCATGGTGTTCTGTTTCCTAGTTGGAGGCAATGGACCAATTAGGTAAATACTAAGCATTTGAAAGGGCCTAGAACAATCTTTAGGACGACCCATTAAACCTAAAGTAGGGTGATTTGCATGCTTATGTGCATTACATGCATCACAATTATTCACAAAATTTGTTATGGCTTTATGTATGCCAGGCCAAAAATATTTCAAGGAAATACGTTTTAAGGTTTTAAAACTACCCAGGTGGCCTGAAATAGGATTACAATGATTTTCCGCTATAATCGCTTGTCTAAACTCGCTAGGAATCACCTCTTTCCACTCAAATTCTCTAGTTAGAGGGTTCAGAATTTTCATGAAACGGTAAAGTTTATTATTAGTTATTTTATAATTAGCACAAATGTAGGAGACACCTGACAACTAGAAAATAGTTTAATATACCATGGATCACACACATTAGGTACGGAATGATTATTATTTGTAATTGCAGATATATTTTTAGCGCGAGATAACAAATCAGGCATGACATTTTCCTTGCCATGTTTGTGTTTAATGTCAAAGTTAAAAGCTGAAAGGCGGACTCCCCACCTAGCCAGTCGACCAGTAGGATTATTTAAATTAAGAAACCATTTCAAAGACGAATGATCAGTAAAAACGGTGAACTTTTTACCGTTGTCTAAATAACACCTCCAGTGTTCTATCGCAATAATGACAGCGAGAGCCTCGCGTTCAGTTGCACTATAATTACGTTCCTGAGCTGACAAAGACTTACTCGTGTAGGCTATTACTCTCTCTTCGCCGTGGAGAATCTGGGTAAGAACAGCGCCAATCCCGTAGTCACTAGCATCTGTATGCACTTGAAAGGGTTCAGCGTAATTAGGACACGCTAAAATAGGAGGTGAGGTCAAATACCGTTTAAGCCTTTCAAAAAATGCGTTCGCTTCTGCAGACCAAACGAAAGGGGGAGCAGTTTTACCTTGTGACGTTAGTTTATTTAATGGGGCTGTGATGGAACTAAAATTAGGTATAAAACGACGATACCACGACGCAGTGCCCAAAAATCGGCGAACTTCCATTCTGTTGGTTCGAGGAGGGTAGTTAACAATGACCTCTATTTTTTCTGGATCAGCTTGAAGACCTTTAGAGTCCTCGATATAACCTAAATATTTTAACTTTTCCCTAAAAAATTGACATTTTTCAAAGTTAATAGTAAGATTAGCATATTTTAGCTTTTCTAGCACTTGTTTAAGTAAAGATATGTGCTTCTCATAAGAGTCTGCAATTATAATAATGTCATTAATAAAAACCCAAACTTTATTTTCGAATTCTGGCCCATAAAATAGTAAATCGACCAATCTTTGCTGCGCAGCCGGTGCGTTAGTTAGTCCGAAAGGCATGGACTTAAATTTAATGTTCCTCTAGAGGGAATGTAAAACGCAGTCTTACATCTGTCTTCAGACCTAATTAGAACCTGCCAAAAGGATTTACAAAGATCAATACTAGACAAATATTTAGCATTTCTAAGATTATCGAGAATTTCTGAAATATATGGTAGAATATATGGTAGGCATCTTTGCGTGTGACGGAATTCAACTTCCTACTATCTTAACAAAATCTATACTCTCCGTTTTTCTTTGGGGTTAGAAGAACCGGGTTAGACCAAGGACTTTCACCTGGTTCCACAACGTCTTCCTCCAACATTTCATCTAATTGTTGATAAAGAATTTGCTGTTTTTGTGGAGACATTCGGTAGTACCTTTGCCTAATAGGAGCGGCATCACCTGTGTCGATAGCATGCATTATTATTGAAGTACGACCCAATCCACGTTCTTCGTACGAAATATTGCGAAATTGAGAAATCATATCATCAGCTGTTCTTTTCTGTTCTTCATTAAGATGTGAATACGAAAGAAGATGACGAGGTTCGTCTACAGAAAAATTGGAAAGACCAATTTCATGTGGCGTATCGAGCACGAAACTATCCAATTCAGTAGGGAACAAACCAAACTTTCTCCAAAAATCCATCCCAAATATTAAGTTGTCTTTGATAGACGGTACAATAAAAAAATGTAAGGTTCGAGTAGTATTATTAAAAGTTATCGGCAAGTTGATATACATGGATGTTAAAAACATTTGACCGCCAGCTGCAGAAAACTGTAACGGTTCACAAGTACAAAGAGGATAGTTATTAACAGAGAACTGTTTATGAAAGTTATTTCCAAGAATTGTTATACTGGAACCAGTATCCAAAAGACCAATAATATTTTTATTATCCGCAACTACAGAAATAAATGGACGAGAAAAGAAGTTATTTTCATTTTCTTGGTTCAAACTGATTACTTTATACTTATCGCGAACTGGAGACGAGGAGCGGTTAGAAAAGACTTTTTTTTAAAGGACGACCTATCGAACCTATCAGACTGTCTACTATGGTAAGAAAAATTAGTTTGTCTCCAGTTCTGGTTAATTAGTTTTTTGATTTGGCAACATTTTTACTATTTGGACATTCTGAAACACGAACACCTGGTTTACCACACCTAAAACAAATAATTTTCCGAGGCTGTGTACAACTTCTTAAATCGTGCGTGTTATTGCGACACCTAGGACAACATTTTTTTCCTGCACCAATCGCAGAAATAATCGCCCAGTTAGAATTAAAAGAATTTTTAACTAAACTTTTTAGTGGGTGGTGGTGTTCCCTACGATATGCAAACTCTGGAGCAAGTGTCTGTGCATTTGAAGGAGACGGTTTAGCAAAGTTTGATAATTGACCTTGAATTCTTTCAAAATTTTGGCAAGCGGCCTTAAGAGAGTTAATTGAGGAAATGGGTGAAGCTGCGGCTAGAGTGTTGGCATAACACGGTCTCACATAGTATGACAAAATTTCTAATTTATCCTCCTCTGACAAGGACCTCTCCAGACGCGAAAACATACCTTCCATTATAGATAAATAAATA